TTTTGAACTTTAAAGTGTTTCATAGTGTTATCTGTTCATCTGTGACTTTATTTTTCTTATATTTTTTGAAATTTATTCTTTGAAATTGAAGTTAATAGTGGTTTTATTCACTTTCCTGCTGTGTAGTGTTACACTGTATCAAACTGCTGTAATATATTTATTGATTCTTCAATTAATCAACATTTCATCTATTTCCATTTCATTATAAATTATGTTGCCATTAAGGCTCTTGGCATGGCTATGTAAGATACACAGGAATTTAACTGTTTGTCTGTGGGGTATATAATGGTCATTTGTATTTTATTTTCTATGAACAATTTTCAAGAACTCAAACTTGTAAGTTATAGCCTGAAACCAGCTACCTATTTTGGTAAGATTTTCAGGGAATCAAGGCTTGATTAAGAAGAATGAAGTAAAGTAGTATGGGGTAAATTCAGGGATGGATTTTGCCTTTATTTTATATTTTAGTGTTCGCTCATCATAGGTTTCTTTTGCATTAATTTTTATGTTTTACCACAGTATTATTTATATTGGTTACTGAGTTTTTGGATACTCAATTAAATTCTTTGCCTAAGGTAAATACCTTGCTCATATCACTCCAGTCCCAGTTCCACCATGATTTAAGGCCCACTTCATCTCCAGGAAGCACTTCTGCTAGGCATCATACTCTGCAGTTAAACTGTCTACCTCTACACTGGCCAACCACCTGGTATCTGTTGTCCACATGCAGCCACAGGGATCTTTTGAAAAGACTGAGTCACACCATAGCTCTGCTTTCCTATTTAATCATCTCATTCTACTTGCATAAAAATCCAAACTTCATGTGAAATCCTGTATAATCTCAGTCTTTCCTCCTTGTCTAGTCATCTATCACAGTGGTATTGCATCAACTTTACTGGTTAGCTTTCCAGTCCTGAAATAGACTACCAGTATCTGAATTAAGGTCTAGGTATGGGCCATTTTTTAAATGGATAATATTGTCCCATCCTTTAGATCTCAAATTAAGTCATCTCTTTGGAAAGTTTTCCCACCAAGGTAACTTCTTCTGGATATTTTTATGGTTTGTTCTTTTTCTTTCTAAACATTTTGACAGCATATGAGTAACTTGTTTATTATCTTACTTGTTGCCTGTTTTTTTTTTTTTTTTTTTGTCTTTTTGGGACAGGGTCTCACTGTGCAGTTCAGGTTGGCCTTGAGCTCGCCTTGTAGCCCAGGCTGGTCTCAAACTCCCAACTATCTTCCTGCCTCAGCCTCCCGAATGCTGGGATTACAGGCATGAGCCACCACGCCCAGCTTTGTTGCCTGTGTTTTCATACCCTAAGATCTTTGAATGGGTACTTTTACTCATCACTATACTCTCAGTATTCAGCACTCCCAATAATCACTCCTTTAAAACTGAAAAGATACTAATAAAATTCAAAGGGGAGAGGTTTTTGTAAAAAAAAGTCCCACAATAAAGTGATGTTTTGTTAAATTTTTCAGAACACAGAGGCACTGTATCACTGCACTATATCCTCAGCCCTTTTTTCGAGTCTTGCTAAATTGTTCTGGCTAGCCTCAGTTTTACCATCCCCACCATAGTTTCCTGAGTAGCTTGGATTATAGGCATGTACTGCCATGCTTAGCTAATATTTATTAATAATAAATTTGTCATTAATAAGGTTATAAAAGCACTTGTTTCTTTTTGCTTAGTAGGCTTACAAATAAGGCTATCTCCTAAAAAAATAAGTTATTTAAATATTCATATAAGGGGGCTGGGGATTTAGCTCAGTGGCATAAGTGTCTGCCTGGCAATTGCGAGGTCATGAGTTCGATCCCTGGTACCACCAAAAAAAAAAAAAAAAAAAAAAGAAAATAAATATTCATATAATAATTTTCAAAGATTGAAAATATGAGAACCCATAATGTTGGTTGCTCATTAACCCTTCCCATTTTTATTCTCCTTTAGCCTAGATAATCTCAACTACATGCTTTTTTTTTTTTTTTTTTTTTTTTTTTTGAGACAGGGTCTCAATATGTATTTTAGGCTGACCTTGAATTCACTACATAGTCCATGCTGGTCTCACTACATAGTCCATGCTGGTCTCAAATGCTTAGCAATCCTCCTGCTTTAGCCTCTTGAGTGTTGGGTTTATAGGCATGTGCCACCATACCCAGCCTCCCTATAATTTTTAAATTTACCAATCTGAAATAATCTGCAAAATGTCTTAGTTACTTATTACTGGGACAGAATACCAAATACCTAGAAGTTAAAGGAGGAAAGGTTTATTTTATCTCACAGTTTGTAGAGGTTACATGTCCATAGTCAGCTAGTTCCAAGGCAGGATACCAGGGCAGAGGGGCATGCCAGAGAAGAAACAGTCCGTGACATGGCAGGAGTGAAGCAATGTTTCCCTTCACTTTTCCCCTTTTGTTCTATCCAGGCTACAAGTCTACTGATTGTTGCCCCTCAACACCCAGAGTGGGTCTTCCCTCTTCAGTAAGTCAATCATTCACATCCAAAATTGAACTAAACAAATCAGCAGACTAATCCCAGATCACATATGTTTGATCCAGTCACTCCCCAAAATCCCATCTATAAGTGCATGAGGCTTTGGGGGATATCTAGATATACGCCATAACACAATATTTCCTTGAAATTCTGTTTTTGTTTTTTTTTGTTGAGGCTGTCATCCTGTTTTCTACAGATGCTACTGCAAGATTCATCATCCCTTTTTTACTGAAGGAGTTGTCATCCATTAAAGGTTATTAACTCAGAAAATCTGAGTTATTCCTGAAAACTCCTTTATAGCCAGTTCATCACCAAAATTCTATTATGTCAATCTCAACATATATGTCCTGAATTTATCACCTGTTTTTTAATCTTTACTGCCCTGGCAATCAGAGCTCTCTCCAGAATGTCTGCAACAAAAATTAATTTATTAATCATAATTACAGCAGTTGTTTTATTTTCATTCTCATCTTTCTCTGTTCCATTTTCCATACAGTAGTGATTTGTTTTTAATGTGTAAAGCTAATTCAGACACAAAACAACAAATCAATGCAACAATATATAAAGTTATGTCCTCCCTCCAGTCCTTTTTAAATACAGTCCTCCCTGTAACTGTACACTAAATATATATGTATGAATCCTTCCATTTTTTCTGTGATTATACAGAAATGTATGATGCGTTTTTGAGATGTTACAAGGACAAATCTATGAAATTACATATACACACATTAAAGTTTATAACTATACAAGAAATTGGTTAAAAAAAACCAAAAGGACTAACAGGAGTTCAGTTTGTAGAGGTTTCAGCCGAGAGCTGACAGGCTCCAAGGCAAGATAGCATGGCAGAAAGGCACTGAGGAGGAGAAAGAAGAGCTCATAGTGTGACAAGCAGGAGGCAGCCAATCTGCCTTCTTTCTGTCCCATTATATTCCATCTAGGATACAAGCCCATTGGTTGGTGCCACTCATACTCAGGGTGGACCTTCTGTCTTCAATAAATCCATTAGGTCACACTCAGAACCAGGATAAACCAATCACTGGCCTAATCAGTTGCGACACACCCTTAATCCAGAATCACATACTCTTAATCTAGCCATCTTCCAAAACTCTTCCCTATGAGTGAATGAGGCTTTTGGGCAAACAACAAGATAAAATCTATAACACGTCCTATTCCAGGCTAGCCTGGGTTGCTTAGTGAGAGTTGAAGGACAGCCTGAACTACAAATCTACTTGGTCTCAAAACAAAAACAAAAACAAACAAACAAAACCTTCCAATTCTTACTACAAACAGTTCTTATTCATTCTAGTCTTCAGTACTGAAAAGAATTCACAAGTTTTCTTGCTATACAATGTGATTCTATAATTCAAAGTTATGGTAATGTGAGTTGATTACATTTTAAATTTATCAAATAATTGTCTCTAAACTGTGAAGAAACTGAAAACGAATATACTTTTTCAAAAAAGAGAATAAAATGGCTTGTCATTATTAGATTTATTGATTTAAAATTGCAACCTCTTTCTCTCTTGTTTTTTCCTCATCAGCAATGGCGTACTATGTATTTTAATCTTGTTTTTAAAGAAAACCGCGACTTCTCCCCAACCCCAATTCACATTGCAATTTGAAGGTAGAGGGCTGAGCTGAGCACCCAGAGACGCAGGGAGGATTTCTTGTAGTAGGGGAAGAACACAGCCAAAAAGCACAAACGACTGTTTTCGAATGCCACTTGGACTTCAATGCTAGGAGGCAACCTGTGGGGACCAGTAAAAAGACCGAGTTTTGTGACCAAGAATTCCTGGGGCTTAGTATGGGGGCTTGATGTGTGCGGAGTTTGGGAGCTTGGCGCATACAACTCTCCGGCAGGACTCTGAAGCTAATCAAGAGAAACGCTCGTTACATTTAAGCGCTCGAGCAACCAGCTCACGACGATTTAAGGCATTTCCTCATCGGCGCTTTCAGGGTAAGAACGGGATGGGGGGGGGGGGCGGGACGGACATGTGCAGGCGGCGCAAAGAAGGGAAAACGAATTCAGGTGCACTTCGCCCAGCAAAGGCCCAGCTGGTGTCAAATTCTCCATCAGGATCAAATTGCGCGCCCTTCTTTCCCGCAGCCCGCCCCACCTCCACCCCTCCCCTTCAGAGACCAATCTCGGTGGGCGGGGCAGGGGTGTTCGCGGCTTCCCCTAAACCGGTAAGATTTGCCTTAGCAAACACAGAGGATGCGCAAACACCAAGAAAATCCACCGTCCAAAGGACACTGGAACCGCACCGGTGCTCAGAAACTACAGCAAAAAGCCAAGACTGGGCTAGCAGCCACGTGAGGCGGGTACTCCCCGCCGCAGTCGCTGTAGGGACTTCAAGTCCCGGCCTACCCCGGGGCGGTGACCCTCCAAGGACTACATATCCCAGAATGCCGCGGGCACGACCGCCGCAACCTTCCACTCAGTCGCTCGCTCCGCCCACCCTTGGCCCTCCCGGCCGGATCGGCGTGCGCCTGCGCACCGGAGGCCGGAGGAGTCTTACCCTAATGTAAGATGGTGGCCCGTCTGGCTGTGGAACCCACCGAAAGCTGAGAGTCTCTCTCAGCCGTAAAGGTCGGACTCGCTGAAGCAATCAGACCTGGTTCTGAAGAGTTTTATTCTCGACACTCATTCAGTGGTCTCTTGTGAGGACGCGGCATCGCGTGGAATCGGCTAAGGGAAAAGCGAGGCACGGCTGGCGGGTGAGTATGCGGGGCTGGGCTTAGGGGAAACCCGGGGCTGACCGGCTACGAGAGCGCGGAGGCTTCGCGGGGATTGTGCAGGCCGCACCCCCTTCCTCCCCACCCCCCGCCTTCTCTTCAGCCTCCTCCTCGGCCTTCCTCCTCCTCTTCCTCCGTCTCCCCTCTACGCCACAGCAGTTACCACCAGGAAAAGGGAACGGGGCAGGCGGCAGCGCGGCGGCCGGCGCCTACTCCTTCGAGAATTTCCTCACCCGGCTAGCCGAGGAGTCTTCCCGTCTCCAGCTCTCCCTCACAGTTTTAGAGAGGCAGGGTTTTGAGGTCTTACAGTGCTCTTGCTTCCCCAACCCCCTTTCTCCTCTGGCGTCCTTTCCTGCTGGCCCCAGTCTCCCTAAGACCAAAGCCATCACTTCCAATCTGACCCGTGTCGCTGCTGCTCATTAAGCCTACTGCTTGGTGCCCACCCGTCCTGCTGCTGTGTTCTCCTCCAGTGCTAGCAGTCTGGAGTTAGTTCTTGCCCCCCTGAAGCTTGCTGCCAGACCCCAGTGTGTCTGCCAGACGGGAGCGTCTTGAGACTTGCAGCCTTTGCCTACACACCTGTCATCTAAAAGCTGCCCTTTAAGTATCTAGATGTTGCTGCTGCTCCTTCTGACCCACCTGTTTCCCAGTCTTCTTGAGAATTGTCCGTTCCTCCCCACTTTTTCCACACACAGAGCCTTTCCACACACACACTTCCAGAAAAGGGATGCCCCGTGTTAGTCCTTGAAAAGTAGAAATTGGAAGTGAATGAGTGAGGTAGGATACTATTAAAGGTTTGAGTAAAGATCTTATTCAGGCTGCTCAGGACAGAATGCCTTTTATGTTTGCTGTCAGTGATCTGTTTGTCGATGATTCCCTCTGATGGGATGTGTCTTCTCCTTCCCCTTTTCATTTTGGACTTTATCCATGCTACCAAACATTCCTCGGAATTGCCTTTCCTCAGCCTCTGTTTATACCAATAAATATTAGCCTAAGCGTTTCAAAATAAAATAAATCTGGCATGCACGCAAATTCATCTGTGAACACAAGTGAATATAAATTATACTTTGATTATATGTGGGTTACATATCTATTTTATCTTGAGAACTGATTACTGAGTTATACTAATATTCAGCTTAATTGATGATGTATTTTATTTAAGGTTTGAATGGAAATTTCCTCTCTAGCTAATAGAAGATGTCCTTAATACTTTTGGATTTGGGACATTCTCTCTTAGACATTTTCAAAATAGTAGTTATCAGAAAAAATTGTTTTGGAAAATACATTAATTATGTATGCAAAGGACACATTGATATTTCTTTTGGTAAACTTAAATCCCTTACTTTTTTCCCACAGAAAAGAAAAAGACTGGTTAAAAGCAGTCACAAAGTTCTCCATTATACATGCATTTAGAGATGTTCACTGTCTTTGTTGTGTACAGTGAAAAATAGAAAACTAGAAGCTTATGATGTACATGTTTTAGTGAAAACAAAATTGAAATGTGACTAATAAATACTTGCTGTAATAGGTTACTTTGAAATGAATTACTAGAAAAGCAAACGTGTGTAGATCAGATACATGCATGTCAAATTTGAACATAAATAAGACCTTGTATTCTTTATATACTTGCAAAAATATTTCAAGTAATAGTGATAATCTCGTGCAGCAGTCTTATTGGTAAAAGTAATAATACCTTAACAATAAATACAAATACATTCCCTCTTTATTCGCTTTCACAATTCTAATTTCTACATATTTTACCTACAGAATTTGAAGAATCTTAGCATGTGTTCATATAGTGACTTGATTGTGCTTTTTTACCAAATGCAAAGTATGGTTAGTAAAGTTGATTATAAAACTTACTTCTTTTTAGCCACTTTAATCCCTATTTGGAGAAACTAAACAAATTTCACTCTTCTATAAATTTGAAGCAATAAATATATCAGAAATATATCTAAATTATAACTTGAAATTTAAAAAAATTACTACTTATAATTAAATCAATAGTGTTTTTGATATAACTGCTTTAAACTCCAAGTAAAAAATACATGCTGGCAGAGAGACTTGACACTTTGTATACAACCCTAACACAGGTCTGGAAACCCTTGGCAGTCATACTTGGCTGAATCATAAGCAAAGTGTTCTAGGGAGAAGACTATTTGTCTGACAGAAGTGGGTAGATGGTTTTAATAATGTTTCCTTTTTTTCTTTGGTTTTGGTCTTTTAAGACAGGGTCTTGAGTATTTTAGGATGTCACTGAATTCAGTATGTAAATAGTTGTGTTTTTTTTTTTTGGTGGTACCAGGGATCAAACTCATGACCTCACACTTGCCAGGCAGGCACTTTTGCAGCTGAGCTAAATCCCCAGCCCTGAATTCAGTATGTAGTCCAAGCGATCTCCTGCCTCAGCTTCCAGAGTTGGAGGGATTACAAGAGTGCACCACCTTGCTGGTTTATCTTTTCTTTTGCAAAAGTACTTGGTTTGCTAAATATTTTCTCAAGTAACTCTCTTCTATCCCCCTTACTCTTTGCTTGCAATCATCAAATTCTCAATTTCAGCCCTATGAATTAAAAATGAATTTACTTTGAGATCTTTTGGGATGACTAAAGAAAAAGTTCTGTGACACTTTGATAGGAACTAAGAAATTGAATTTGGAAATAGTTTTACAGATTTAAGTTCTTTATAGCTTTATAAACATTTCACCTTCATACTTTCACGATTTCTTTTGATAATTTGCATTACTTTTTGCCAGGGTCAGTTAGTTGAATTCTTTCAATGAATAGATTATTTGTGTGAAAAGGTTTTAAATATGAATTAGTTAAAGCTGACTTACTACAGTATGCTTTCTGAAAATTGCCAAGGCAATTCTTTAGTTCTGTTAGGATGAACAGTTATAAGCAAACAGCAGAATAGAGGAAAATAAAATTGTTTTGTATTCAATGCCCTTTAGTCTATGGGATCACTAGCAAAAGCTTGCAAATCATTACTTTGTAAAAGGAAGAGGGTGTGACTAAGGATACACTTCTAGCGCTAAGGGAGTTTTATTTATTTATTTATTTTTTTGTGATGCTGGTAATCAAACCCCAGACCTCACACATGCTAGTGTTTTCAGGGGAGTTTTATCATTTTTTTGTCTTTTTCCTTTTTATTGGTACCGGGGATCAAACTCACGACTGCCTGCTTGCAAGTCAAGGCGCTTATGCCGCTGAACTAAATCCCAGGAGTTTTATCTTAAAAATGAATTTATGTGGCTTAAGAAAATGAAAAACCTCTGGGTGCGGTGTTGTGTGACTGTAATCCCAGTATTTGGGATGCTGAGGTAGGAGAATCACCATGAGTTCAGGGCCAGCCTGGGTGACAAAAATGAGTTCAAGACTAATCTGTGCTACATAGTGAGACCCTGTCTCAAAACAAACATGAAAAAAAAAAAAAAAAAAAAGAAAATGAAAAACTAACTTCTTAGTCTAAGCAGTTTGCTTCTGGAATGCTTCTTTTCTCTTCCTTCCTATACCTGGCTCTAAAATGAAGCCACAGTCTTCATTTCAATGAATTTCTTATGTGATTGTAACTACTTTTTGACAGCATTTATCCCAAGTCAGTGTTTATTGTTTCATAGACTGTTTAAATAAGATAGAAAATTTTAGGTTATGAAAACTTAAGCCTGTGTTGAAAATTGAGTTGATTCTCTTTGAAGCTATCATACTGTCTTGATTTTTGGTGAGGAAAGTTACATTTAGCTCAGTTGGTTCCAAAGAAAACAGTAGAGAAATAGGTTATAGAGGTTTTTGCTGTTCTAGAAACAGTATAACTAGAATGTACTACATATTTTTCTCAAAGGATTTCTTAATCTAAATGGAACTTGTAAATGGTTTTCATCCCACTGGAATAGCATATATTGGATAAAACTTGTTAATATAGTATGACATTTTACAAACTTCATGTTACTTTGGAGTTACTAGGATAAATTTTCAAATATCTGTTCTTGACTACATAGGCAATATCCCAAATGTTTTATTTTATTTTTTTGAATCATTTTTGAGACAGGATCTCACTATGTAGATATGCTCCATAACCCAAATCTGCCCTCTACTCTCCATCTTGATGCCTCAGCCTTTTACTTGCTGGGATTTCAAGCATATACCACCATGCCCAGCTTAGTATTCCCAGTATTTTCTAATATTTTATATATTTATTATAGATATTCTTAGATATCTATATGTAGCATTTTATATATCTTTATATGTGTGTCATATATACATAAGAGCTTACATAAAAAAATTTTTTTGCCCTCAAAATTTGTGAGTACACTATAATGTACTCAATTTTTTTTTTTTTTTTTTTTTGGTCTTTTTCGTTTTTATCGGTACCAGGGATCGAACTCACGACTGCCTGCTTGCAAGGCAGGCGCTTATGCCGCTGAGCTAAATCCCCAGCCCCAATGTACTCAAATTTGTAATGCAGAATCATTAGTCGGACTTTATAATGATATATTAAGTGGTTCCCTAAAAGAACTAATTTCAGAAGTATTTTTAATCTCCGTATATGGACTTTTTTGTTAGAAAAATTAGTGTTGTAAATAACAACTTTTCTAAATATAGTATAATGATCTAGTGGATATTATACCTTTTTCTTTTATCATATGACTCCTTTTTTAATCAGAAAATTGCTCATCGAGAATTTCAAGACTGTTTGGTCCTCTTTTTTTTTTGCAATGCTAGGGATGGAACCCAGGACCTTGAGTTTTCTTGTAGATCCTAGACAGCTTGCTGATAGCAATGTCCCTATTTCCTTTATATTTTAATGGCTTGTGTTTGTATTGGAACAGGAAAATTTAAAGGTAGTTTGAGCTTATTTTTCTTTTAATCAGTTTGTGAATATGGCTTCTTTATTACTAAAATACCTTTGTATGAAGAATTGTCCTGTTTTAAGCTTTAATTGCATTAAGTAGTGGGCAGTTGATATATTCTTATTATGATAAACTTTG